AACGCTATATTTCCAGACAGCTGGAAAGAAGCCGTGGTCATTGGCATCCCCAAGCCCGGTAAAAATAAATCCGACCCGTCCAGTTATCGTCCTATCAGCCTCCTCAAGGCTATAGGCAAGCTGTACGAGCGAATCCTCCTCGCCCGCCTAAAGGAGTTTATATACTCCAAAGGCCTGCTCATCAATGAGCAGTTTGGCTTCCGAGCCAAACACTCATGCGTCCATCAAGTGCACCGCATCACGGAGCACATTCACAAAAACACTCTGTACTTCGCCACCAAGTCCCCCAAAGGCGGTACAGGCGTCCTATTTTTCGATGTGGCTAAGGCTTTCGATAAAGTCTGGCACAACGGCTTGATTTACAAGCTTCATCAGTTAGGTGTCCCCGACAGGCTAGTACTCATTGTACGAGATTTCCTGTCGAATCGCTCTTATCGCTACCGTATAAACGGAGCGTTATCCGACCCGCACCCCATACGAGCCGGCGTCCCTCAGGGCGCCGTCCTCTCTCCGATGCTCTACTCGTTGTACACCAACGACATCCCCAAATTCTCCGACTTAAAAGTCGAAATATCGCTGTTTGCCGATGACACGGCTCTCTTTACATCCGCCAAGTCCCGTGCGACAATAGCCAGACGGCTTCAGAAAGCCGTAACGATACTGGGCGAATGGTTCCGTCGGTGGCGCATAGAAGTCAATCCCGAAAAAAGTGCAGCAGTGTACTTTAGCAGGGAATTCGACTCTATGAATCACCCGATCGAACTATTCGGCCAAAACATCCCGTGGGTTTCGAAAACGAAATATCTCGGCGTCACCCTAGATAGGAAACTAACGTTTCGTCCTCACATCAAGCGTGTCCGCGACCGAGCCGCCTTTATACTAGGGCGACTCTATCCTTTTATTAACAAGCACAGTAAAATGTCGCTTCGCAACAAGCTGACATTATACAAGGCTTGCATCCGTCCCATCATGACCTACGCTAGTCCCGTATTCGCCCACATACCCTACTGCTTAATCAACAGACTGCAGGTCATTCAGAATAGGTTTCTGCGTCGAGCCACCGGTGCGCCGTGGTTCGTTCGCAGCGTAGATCTCCACCGCGATCTTAATCTGCCCTCCATCAAGCAGTTTATGAAGGAAGCGTCTCGACGCTACTTCGACTCTGCCCAATCCCACCCTAATCCGCTTATAGTCAGTGCGGTCGACTACGCACCGAGGAGTAATATCCGACATACGCGACAACGTCGCCCGAGGCACGTTCTCATTGACCCCGACGACCCCATAACGGCAGGTAACCTCCCCACGGGCCCACCCGTTCCACCCCAACCACACTTTTACACACACACACGACACCGTCCTCGCCGGCGAAGACGACGACCTCAAACACACAATATCGCGCATTCAACCGGGCGCCTGCGCGCGCCCGGGCGCTCCACACCGGCGCCCCCGGGCGCCCCTCCGATCGATCCCCCGTCCAATTCAAACGGGGATTGAAATTACGACGGCCTGAGCCGAGGTTCGAACCCCTAGTGGTGCCCTCAGACTAAAGTCGTATCCGTCGGGCAGGAGTTGGCCTTCAGCCGCTCCATAAGTCCTTCCGCGGGTTTGGAGTGCCATCTGCACTCGCCCCATAACGTCCGGTGAAGCTGTAAAGGCCAGCTGCGGCCAACAGCATTAGAGTAGTCCGAAAAAAAAAAAAAAAAAAGTGTGCGGCCTCTTTTGGTCGACAGACGTGCTCTCGAACGAATCTCCGTATCATACCGTATTTGCTTTATAAATTCTTGTACTGATTTTGTTAAAATTAATTATACGATTTGTTATAAGTTTCTTTTATTTAATTAAATTTAGAGGTTATACCTAACATCAGAAGTGGGATTCGAGGCCATTTTGGTCGCGAATAACAATTTTGATTAAGGATTGATTACATGTCGAGTAGAAAACGCCCATCGTTACGAGAGCACGCGTCTCCGTTCCCCACCTCTCAAATATAGGTGAACTAGGAGCGTTAATGGACGTAAGTCTCAACAACTGGTGTCGCTGGAACAACGTGCGGTCGCTCAGCGAAACAGGGGTTCGCATATAGCTACTGACGTAGATGCTGAAGACGTGCCTGCGCCGGCCCCGCTGCGCTGTCGTCGCCCGCGCAGACAGTCGGCGCGCCAGCCAGACCCGCCAACGAGCGCACCTGGTGCGGTGGCGCGATCGGTTGCTACCTCAACAGACATTACGAAACGTCTTATCGACGCTTAATGTCATGAATCTGGTGAGATCTTTCCATTTTTATATTTCATACTTTTAAGTATGCGCAACATTGACGAATAGTTGCGATGAAGTAGATCGTGGTCATTCAGTGAACCGACAGACGGTGTCAGTTTTGTCGTTAAAAGGTGAAGCAAGCGCGTAGTAACGTGAGTGGGCTAGTGATGATCATACTTGGTCATATATGATAGCAGACTACCTAGTAGTAGATTCTCAAATACGGTGCTATAGTTGCAATATAGTCGGGTAGTATAGAAGTAAATTTAGTTCTTTTGAAAAATAACCTACGGACAAAATCGTATATGCATTTTATAAGAAGATAGGTCATACTGAATACGTTTACTTTACGAAGAAATAATCTGAATTAGGCTAACGCAAGTTTTCGCCGTGACTTGGACTAGTGATAATGCACATCGCGACGAAATTATCGCGCCGTAATATGCGGGTACCCACAGATGTATAGTACGATAGTGGTTCAACAACTTCTTTTAAATCAAATGATCGTTTTGTGTTGTAAGGTGCACATATTATGCTGTTTAGACGAAACGGATATGCGGTCTGATTATACCCACAAATGTTTAGTACGATAGTGGTTCAACAACTTCTTTTAAATCAAATGATCGTTTTCGTGTTGTAAGATGCACATATTATGCTGTTTAGACGAAACGGATGTGCGGTCTGATTATACCCACAAATGTTTAGTACGATAGTAGTTCAACTTCTTTTAAATCAAATGATCGTTTTCGTGTTGTAAGGTGCACATATTATGCTGTTTAGATGAAACGGATATGCGGTCTGATTATACCCACAAATGTTTAGTACGATAGTGGTTCAACTTCTTTTAAATCAAAAGATCGTTTTCGTGTTGTAAGATGCACATATTATGCTGTTTAGACGAAACGGATATGCGGTTTGATTATTTTCTTACTTTATCTGCGAAATTCATAACATCTCACAAGAAGTAACTTAGTACCTTGTGATTATCTTAAAGACGCCAGTACTCATTGGTAATGATATTTTTAATATTGAAAAGACATTGCGTATACGAAATAACGATTTTTAGCGTATTTTTAGAAACCGCTCTTTTGAAAATGATATAGCGCGTAGTGAATCGATAGCGCGACTTCAATTGATAAATACACCGTTTCGTGGTGATGAAAAAGAAAATTTGTAGTCTTAATGAATAAACATTCTGAATACTTTTTAGTGGCTCAGTCACAGCTATGGTCAATACCGTATAGAGATACACATTAGACTACTTGTTAACGAAGTAGCATTATGTAGGTACGACGGTTAATTACCAAATCGACCTTATAAATTATTTTACGGTTATAACTTAAGCATGCGTGTGAAAATCCAGATTTACAATTAATTTCCGCTAAGTGTAATTACCTCGCTCCTGAGGTTGTGTATCTTAGGAGACTGGAACTATTTGTAAGAGTCAGGTCAGGCCGAGCGTATACAAATAGAAATGATGGATTCTTCGTTCAAACAAATTTACTATTAGGTATTGGTTACTATAGGTATTGGTTGGCATAACATCTTGCGCGAGGCCAAGGACAAGATAGATCTCCGCCCCCTCGGAATATACGGCTTGCGGCTTCGATCCGCGATTACTGGGGGGCGGATTCTGGAAGTCTCCGGCACTGACAACGCCGAGAAGGCCGACGCACTGGCGTCCAAACTCCGGGCCCTAATCCCGGAGGATGTGGCCAAGGTCTCCAGGCCCTCAAAAACCGCGGAAATGCGGGTCATGGGCCTGGATGACTCACTGACGCCGGAGGATGTCGCCGCCGCCGTTGCGCGTGAGGGTGAGTGTGAGGCCGAGGTCGTAAGGGTCGGGCCAATAAGAAGGGGCAGGCCCAATTCCCTGGGGTCCTGCTGGGTCCGTGGCCCTATGGCGGCCATCAAAAAGGTCACCAAGGAGGGGCATATCCGGCTAGGCTGGCTTTCCGCAAAGGTGGAGCTGCTGCGGCAAAGACCGCTGCGGTGCTACCGGTGCCTGCAGGGCGGGCACCCTAGGAGCCAATGCACGCAGGAGGAGGACCGCAGCGGCCTTTGTTACCGATGCGGAGAGGCGGGCCACAAAGTCGCAGCGTGCGCCGCAGCCCCCAGATGTGTATGTGCGTCCCAGGGGCGGCCGGCGGACCATTGGGTGGGGAGCAAGAAGTGCACCCCGCCCAAAAGGAAGGGAGGAAAACGGCCCGCCTCACAGGCCCCAGGCCGTAGGAGTGGTGCAGAGGAGGGCATGGACACCTCCCCTCCCAGCGATCAAGGAGGCAGGGGCGGCCCAAGCCGCTCCTAGATCGCTACCGGGCCGGGGTGACGACCGCGGGGGCGGTCCCACCCCACCACACTAGGCCCGAAGAAGTCGCGCGCATGTCCCCGCGCGCCTTCCCCAGGGAAGACGGGGGAAGTGGTGGGTTCCACAGGGAACCCGCAGAGATGGGGCCCGCTGTAGAGTGGGCCACATCTCTGCGGGTTCCCTGTCGGAGTCGCGGTTGAATGTTATCGATCCCGCGACTCCGGCATATGGCGTTGGGTGAGGGACAACTTGGAGTTTTTAGTGAGTAGGAGTCTCACAGTACCCGCGGGCTTCCCCCGGGGCCGGCGGGTCTCCATGAGGGATTTTCTCCAAGTTAAAAAAAAAAAAAGGTATTGGTTGGCATAATGATAGTGATGAATTATACTATGCGACAAAAATAGACTATACATTGTTGACAAAATTGACTAAACGAGTAATGTTGTCTACCATTTCGCAAATCTATGATCCGTTAGGATTATTGTCCCCTGCCGTTATTATATCAAAAATATTATTGCAAAAATTGTGGCTTAGTAAGTTGGATTGGGATACTCCGGTATCACCTGAAATAGTCGTAACATGGAACAATTTTCTAGCTACATTTAATCATTTAAACGATTTAAAAATTCCTCGTCATGTAATAGGAGATGATCCGCAGCATGTGGAACTGCACGTTTTTACGGATGCGTCACAGAGTGCGTATGGAGCGTGTGCCTATATCCGCACTTACAGTGACAATTCGGATGTCACTGTAAAATTATTGTGTGCAAAAAGCAAGGTTGCACCATTGAAGTCGATTACCATACCAAGGTTAGAGCTCTGTGGCGCACTAGTAGGTGCAAAACTTTACAAAAAGGTGATCGAATCTTTACGGCTAACTTTCAACCGGGTCTTCTTCTGGACCGACTCTACTATTGTCATCAGTTGGGTCCAGATGTCTCCGCATTTACTGAAACCGTTCGTACAAAATCGGGTCACAGAAATAAACGAACTTACGAATGACTCTATCTGGTTCCATGTTGCTAGTGGAGACAATCCAGCTGACCTATTATCGAGAGGGCTAAATCTCGACATGTTGGCTAGTTGTGATCTGTGGTGGACCGGTCCGCCTTATCTACGAAATCATCGTTTCAACATTCAGGATCATGTAAAAAGTTTCGGTAACGATAAACCTTACATAAACGTTTTACCAGAGTTAAGGTCTCAAGACGCATCTAATTTTATTTGTGTTCGTTCAGAAGTTTTTATTCAATTTGAAAATTATTCATCTTTCAACAAGTTAAGACGTACTTGGGCATATGTATTACGTTTTCTGAACAACACACGTAACCGTATCCACCGCAGTGATAAGTCAATTGATCAACTTGATTGTCTATCCGTAGACGAATTGAATGCGTCGGAACTCATTTTAGCTAAATTCGCCCAGATGCAATCGTTTCCAGAATTATACGAACGATTGTTAAGTAATTTACCAATTAAATCCAACGGCAAGAAGATGAATTGTATATCCGGTTTGAATGTATTCTTAGATGCTCAAAACATAATACGCGTTGGTGGTAGACTAGGTAACGCAACTACTTTCGATTATGACAAGAAACATCCTATACTTTTGTGTAACAAACACCATTTTTCAATGTTATTGGTTAGATATAATCATAAACGTTTATTACATGCAGGTCCACAACTTCTTTTGGCTCACATTCGAGAAAAATGGTGGTTATTATGTGCCAGAAATCTTACTAGGAAAATAGTGCGTGAGTGTATTATTTGTACGCGAATGAAAGGTAAAACTTTAACCCCAATTATGGGAAACTTGCCGTCCGAACGATTGGATTCTGGATTTCCTTTTATACGAACGGGTGTTGATTATGCTGGGCCAATTATGATGTTAAATCGAAAGGGCAGAGGTGCTCGTTTGACAAAATGTTATGTAGCTCTTTTCGTTTGTTTTGTTACTCGGGCAGTTCATCTAGAACTTGTCACCAGTATATCTACTGAAGATTATATTTTGACTCTTAAACGCTTTATTAGTAGACGAGGTAAACCTAATTGTATTTATTCCGATAATGGTAAAAATTTCGTAGGAGCAGCAAAGGAATTTTCTTCCTTTTTTGTTAATAAAGGTAAACAGTTATTGGAATTTGCCGCAAATGAAGGTATACAGTTTCAGTTTATCCCCCTTATTCCTCCCACTTTGGAGGTCTTCGGGAAAGCGGCGTAAGATCATGTAAACATCATCTCAGACGTATTGTGGGTAATGCTAAGTTAACATACGAGGAACTTAGCACAATTTTAACACAAGTCGAATCCGTGCTCAATTCCCGTCCAATGTCACCGTTATCCTCAAATCCTACAGATTTAAACCCTCTCACGCCTGGCCATTTCCTTATTGGCCGACCATTAACTGCTCCGCCAGTCGAGAGTTTACTGGACGTCTCTACCTCAAGACTATCTCGCTACCATTACATTGAGCAGCTACGTCAACAATTCTGGCAGCGCTGGTCCCGAGAATATGTGTCCGAACTTCAACAAAGGACTAAGTGGAAGACGCAACAGAAGGACATTAAACTGGACGCTTTAGTCATTTTAAAGGACGACAATTTACCGCCTCTTAAATGGAGATTGGGACGAATCAAACAAGTATATCCCGGTGCTGACGGTGTCTCCCGGGTGGCAGATATCTACACAGCAGCTGGGGTAACAAGAAGAGCATTTTCTAAGATATGCCCTTTACCACTGCAGCCAGAAGAGTAACATATTAAATGTACAATTGTTGGAAGTCGGAGCTTCCAAGGCCGGGGTATGTCTACGCCTGCTTCCGGAAACATAAAAAAAAAAAACCTATGTCTACTCTGTATTGTGTTCATATCTGTAACAAAATTTAATCTGTAACAAAACTTAATCTGTAAATTACTACGCATATCTTTTTCCAATAAAATACATGTAAAAATATAAAAAAGGGATTTTGAAGCCTCTGTTACTGAATAAACTTGATACCTATATCTATCAGAACTGCAAAGTCCATTCATATTTTTAAACGACAAGTAAAAGATTTCCTCCTCAATATTTAAATTGCAGTTAGTATGGCATTTTAATTTATATTTAGTTTATTCTATTTAACTTTAAAATTATGTATGTAGTTTATGTAAGTGTATCTAGTTTAATATATGAATATTATTGTGTACATAAATTTTAATTCATATAATATTTATTATTATTTTTCTTTATTATCATTATATATTTGTTACCTTTTAGTTTTCTCCTGTTCATGTCATTTTACCTACCTGTTCGATGTTTCAATCCGTTTCCCTAAGGTTGCCTTGAAAAGATTGCTTTTAGCAATAAGGCCGCCTTATTGTAACGATACATGTGTCTTTTGTTATATTGTTTGTGCTTCTTCTTTACTGTACGTTGCAAATAAAGTATATTCTATCTATCTATCTATCTATCAATTAGCACTAATTCAATTAAATACTCAAAAAGAAAAATATTGAATACATAACCAACTGGTTAAACAATTAATAAGAGGAAATCAGTCATAGTGATTAGAGCAGACCAGTCCCTACAAGCAGCACCCGTTCACGAGTATGACGGATGAGCCAGCCATCACTGCGCTCGACCATATTTTAGGGAGCCCAATGACCCGGCCCACCACGCCGCCACAAGTCTGGACATTTTAGTGAGCATGACTACTCAAAACACTAGACCACGTCAAAGCTACTCACAATTGCCATCTGATAGTTATAGTATTCACATTTTACATAAGAATGCATGCGGCAATTAATACAAAAACCGCTACGCTTTCATATTTCTAAAATCAATCAATTAAATCAAGAAAGCAATGAGAAAATAAAATTATAACGTTGTATGCTAATAAACTAATTATTTACTTGATATGTTGTCATCTATGAATTCGTCTATCCTGTAATAGGCTTTCTTACATAAAAATTGTTTAATATAAGATTTGAATTGCCTCTCTGTCAGATTTAATGCAGATTCTGGCAGTTTATTATAAAATCTTATGCAATTACAATAGAATGAATTACTGATTTTGTGCAGACGGCATTTAGGTAAAATAAGCTTATTTATATTGCGTAAGTTTCTACTTGTACAGTCTTTGAGTTTTTTAAAACTCTCTAAGTTCTTCCGTGTATACATAATATTTTCATAAATGTATTGTGAAGTAACGGTGAGGATATTTGAGTCTTTAAAGTTTTTATTTGAGTCTTTTACCATAAATAGAACGTATAGCTCTCTTTTGTAAAACAAATATAGTATTTATATCGGCTGCTTTACCCCACAGCAGTATGCCATAAGACATTATGCTATGGAAATAACTAAAATATACAAGTTTAGCCGTCGCCACGTCTGTTAATTGCCTAATTCTTCTAATTGCATATGCAGCAGAACTGAGTCTACTGGCCAATTTTGAAATATGGGGCCCCCATTGTAATTTCGAGTCTACTGTTATACCTAAAAAAACTGTATCATTAACAAAATTTACTATTTCGTCATTAAGCAATAACTGTGTATTTATTAGTCTTACATTAGGAAGTGTAAATTATTATTTGGTTATTACATGTAAACCAATTTAATATTGCAGACATAGCACAATTTACATCGTCTAATTGATTTCTTTGACGTCCAATTTTAAACACTAGCGAAGTATCATCCGCAAACAGCACTATATCTGCAATTTTCTCTACCATAAAGGGAAGGTCATTTATGTAGATTAAAAAGAGAAAGGGGCCTAAGATTAACCCTTGTGGAACGCCCATCTTAATATTAGCTCCCTTAGATTTTACACCGTCAATATCTCCAGTTTGGACCCTATCCTCTAAATAAGTTCTCATTAGTTTTAGATCATTATCTCGTATACCATAATGTTCGAGCTTGTACAAAAGCGTTTTATGATCCACACAATCAAATGCCTTTGATAGGTCACAAAAAACTCCGAGTGCATCCTGTGACTTCTCCCAAGATTCGAAAATATGTGTCATTAGCGCAACACCTGCGTCAGTGGTGGTAGACTTGCCGGCGGTGAAACCATATTGCTGACTGTGAAGCAGTCCGTTAACCCTGAAGTGTTGTAACATTTGATTTAACATTATCTTTTCAAACACCTTACTTAGAAGTGGCAAAATAGATATAGGTCTATAGTTCCCTGGCTCAAATTTACCTCCTGATTTAAATAGTGGGATTAATTTCCTAAATTTCATTAAATGTGGAAAAACGCTATTATCAATACATTTATTAAAAATAGTGGCTAGATATGGAGCAACAATATCTATGAAAGAACTAACTACTTTTACAGACATGCCCCAAAGGTTTTCCGTATTTTTTAAATTTAGCTCTTTGAATATTTTTATGATATGAAAGTGGCTAACATGTGAAAATTTTAATCTTAAAGAACAACAACCGATATTAGTCTCTAGTAATTTTTTTGCTCGAGATTGAGATGAGTCCAGAGAAGATGTAATATCAATCGGAATATTAGCAAAAAAATCTTCAAAAATATTAACTACATCTTTTGTTGTTGTTATTAATTTATTATCATAATTTAATGTAAATTGAATTGAATTATTGAATTATTTAATTGAATTATTTATTCAGATGAATGTGGTAAGGGTCTGGGCCGTTCATTATCAGAAAGTCTATCTCAACATGTCATAAATAACTGTCTTCCTGGTGCTTCATTGCCTAATATTTTAAATAAGGTGGTTAATGGTATGTATGATAAGTTAACCACATTAGTCATTGCTCTAGGCAACTGTTTATATGTAAAAAAAAGTCATGTCATTAAACTTGTAAACTCTTTGCTTAATATTGCTGATCTTCGCATAGGTAAAATAATTTTATGTGCATTTCCTTACTTTCATTCTGTGACTATTGAACAAAATAAGTTCATATATTATATTAATAATTTAATTTCTAATATGACATGTCGTCATAATGCAGTACAGATGTTCTATGTTTAACTGAACATTGGCTCAAAGTGAGCAATATGATGTTGATGGTGAGTAAAAGAACGTAGTGATATTGGCAATCTTTCCGTTGAGTATTGTATTGAAATTTCCTGTGTGGAACTAGAAAATTATATAGTTATGTGTGTATATAGCCCTCCAAATAGTGATTATAATTTATTTGAAGAGGTAATGGAGGATATTTTCAAAAAAAGAGTATTTAATATTAACAAAAAAATTATAGTGTGTGGTGATTTCAATGTTGACATTTTATCACATAACACCACAAAAACGAAATTAATGAGTTTATTTCAATGTCTTCCACGAACCCACTCGTATCACAGCCACGTCTGCTACTTGTTTGGATAACATATTTAGCAACAGTGAGTATTTATTTCATATTTCATATTGCTTTATTCACAAATGTAACAAATCTCGTTACACAACAGCATGTCAATAGTAATTACATTTTTAAGATAATTATGTCACAATTACAATTTTAAATATTCAAAATAATAAATTAAATAACATATAACAGTAATAAAAGTCACTTAATGGAAAATGTCATAATTGTACATTGAAATTCAGATATTCCGTCACATTGTAAAAAGGATGTTGCTCGAAATATGATTTTATTTTGTTCTTAAATTCTGTTGATGTTAATTGCATTGTTTTATTTGATAGTTTATTGTACATTTTTATTTTTAAGTAAATACCTTGTTTTATTGTTTTTGCAAGTCGTAATCTTGGTAATTCTAATTTATGTCCATTTCGTGTCATGTAATTATGGTTATCCGCCTTTTTACGCAGTGTTTTGCTCTTTTCGTTTATGTCTAACAACGAATACTATATGAACAATGATGTAACTGTCATTATACGTTGTTCAATGAAATACGGTATCACAGAGGTGCGTCTATGGATTCCGCATATAATTCTTATAGCTCTTTTTTGTTGCCTCAGGACTTTTGCTATGAGACTTGCATTACCCCAGACTGTAATACCATATGACAATGAAGACTGAAAATATGCGAAGTACATAGTTTTCAGTACTTTTTTTGATAACACTTGCTTCGGTTTACTCAAAGCATAATTGGCTGATGCTAATTTATTACATAATCTTTCGATATGTGATGCATGACTTACTGTACTATCTATAGTGTATCCTAAAAATGTGGTACTTTGACTATATGTGTTGTCAGAATAGACAGAATTTTGCTTCTTACGTCTGGTGGAGTATTACATTAAAATACTTTTAGCGGCATTTAATACAATACCATTTGATTGAAACCAATCATGCAGCGTTTCTACGGTGTTAGTCATCATTCTATCTAGTTCCGTTTTATTTGTATTTCTTATTCCTACATACGTATCATCTGCAAATAAAGTTACAAATGTCTCTTCTGGTAAATTAGCTGGCAGATCGTTTACATATATATGTAAACGAAAAAGAAAAAGAATAGGTCCAAGGATGGAACCTTGAGGAATACCAATACTAATGTTCTGCATTTCTGATACTGTATTGTCATTTAACGATACTATCTGTTTTCTGTTACTTAAATATGATTTCATTATTTTAATAGCATTATGTCTAAGTCCATAGTAATCTAATTTATCAAATAATATGTCATGTCTCAAATAGTCAAAGGCTTTAGTGAGGTCACAAAAAATGCTACCGCATTTCATAGATTTATCAAAAGATTCCAGTATAAATTCCATGGTGTTAGTAATTGCTATATCTGTCGACCATATTGTTTGTCTGAAGAGTGAAGAGATTATTTTCCTCAAAATACT